CATATGAGACTCAGACAAGATGCCGGACACTTGGTAAACCCTGACAGGGTCCACACGTCTCCTCTCATTAAGGTTTTGTTTACAGCGTGGAAATTGAACAGAATTGGTATACCTGAGCAAATATTCCTGAATAGCTAAAGTACATGGAATAACTCCTCTTGTGAACACTCTGTTCCAAAAGGGGATCACTTATATTCTGGAACAACAATTTCACCAAGCTGAACAAAGTAATCATTCTGAAAGACATGTTTATCTTGGAGCCAAATGCCTGCACAGGGAGCTATTTCAGAATACCTACTATGGAATAGTTACAGCAGTCAATTTCCCTATGTAGACAAGTCTTTACACTGATTTGACATCAAGCTTCACTGACTTCTGTAGAGATATCTCCTACTCATGCCAATGTGAGAAGATAGATGTATCTGAGATATATTAAGGAAGTAGTCTGGAACTTCATTAAGCCACTGGAGAAATGTAAGAGGCCAACTAAAAGAATTAGCAGTTAATCTGTAGAATTTAAAAGATGCAGCATTCATCAAATGCAAACAGCATTAAGAAATGAACTCTGTTCTATTGCTTACTACTGAACGTGCTTACAAACACCCAGTGGAATCAGTGGCAAAACTCCCCATAAAATCACCCATAAAGGCAAATTTCAGGATTTTTTGAGTGACCTGTGAAGCATTTTGATGCATGTGTCACAGATTTTGTTTTGTAAATTAAGGGTCAGAACCAAAAGATGTACAGGCAAGTAACCCTCATTTGGAATCTAACCCTCATTAATTTGAATGGGAATTTGAGTACCAAAATGGAGGTAGCCACCTAAATGCTTGCTTGGATCCATTCTTTTCCCACCTGAGTCCTGGCTAGTTGGTCTTGTTATTAATTTCTTCTATGATGATTAATGGCTTAAAACATAGCCCTTGACTGTATCTGAACAAAGTCCATCCCCTTTTAATGAATTAGTGGATAAAATTCACCCTTGTACAGACATATCGCACAAGCCATTCTGTCATTGTAACCTTATTCAAGTCCTATTTGAGGACTTACATGGAGCATTGTGCAGTTGCAATTCACAAATGTGATGTTCACCCTCAATCACAGCAATGTCCAGCCACTGGAGGGAAGAGGCTAAATAAGTAAAGCATGTATATTATTATACATTTATTAGTGTTGTTATTATTTAGTAAGTCAATTATTTATTTACTAACACTGGATGCTCTTCCCAGCTCTCATTGTCTCAGCCATAATATGACTGAGAAGTTTAGCTGCAGCCAGAATGCTGAAGTCAGCGTTCAGTTTCCATTAGGAACCACCTGCATCATGTGTAACAATGCCTAGACACTGGGAAATATAATCTGTGCAGACTGAGTAGCAGGGTAAGTCACAGCTCTTTGTGGGAACACCATTGTTCAGTCCACACAGCTTCAGATGACTGGCATACTGAGCTCAATGGTGCTCTACTCCCTCCCACCAAGCCAAGAACAGTGCTAAGGCTTGAACCTTGCAAAAAGGAATCTCTGCTGTTACTAAATGATCAAGTAATGGGCCTATGGGACAGACACTGGGTGATTGTTAAATGATACTATCTGGGCCAAAAAAACCCCAAATAGATTTTGTATTAACACTTTCTAGTGGTATCTGACTGTCTTCCTTTTTGCTGAGACTTGAAAATGTTCATTTGAGCATTACAATTCAAGGTTTGCATAATGCTGTCCTTCCTAACACATACCTGCATACCAAGCTCAACTCAACCCTATCTCAGACTCAGTGCCGCTTTTTGGCATTTATTAACCATCTCCCCAGGAGCCACTAGATGGCCCTAGAACCAGCTGTGAGCATTTTACACTATGTGGTGTAGATTAGCAGTTTGTGGTTTCAGTTCATGATTTTAAGACTTTAGTAAAAACAGAAAACATGTCAGAACTAGTGACACTTTCTGGAAGGTCCTGTACTGCATAAGACAAAACAGGCTTTGAAGGCAGCATTTCATTTTAGCCAGCACCATCCTCTTCCAGCAGTTTTTAGGAAGTATATGTAAAATTCCCCTTTCCTATGCATGCAAGCATCATCTAGGCTATCAACATTTATCTGGGTGCACAGCATTTTCCAAAGTGCATGGTTACCTAGGAGGAAGGTTGGCACAGGAAATGTATTAAGATGTTCAGGCATTTACCATCATCCATTAGGGTGAGTGAGGGAGCAGGACCGGATTAGTTTTACCAAAGGGGACTTCAGCTCCCAAAAACATGGGCAATGCCATATTCAGAGAGATGCTGGTTTTTAACATTTTGCCCCAAGATCTGCCTGTGGTATGACCTCCAATGAATAGCTGCATGGATCAAACCATCCCCCCCGTGCTCTATTTGTGCTCTGAGCCCATTCTGCTCTGCATAGGGGTTATACACAAGTCCCAGGGCACATCACACTTCCTCTTTCAGCCACAAGTTTTGGGTCCACTTCCCTCACTCCCACACTGAGGCCAAACAAGGGTTCCTTGTTAAAAACAGAATGTAAACTGCAGGAATGTAAAGATGCCCTTTGGGATGTTCATCAACAGCTTGCATTTGTTATTTTAAAGACTTTTTTTGCTCGGTGGTTGTTACAACCAATGTTTTCCTTTATTTGCAAAGTTTCAGAAATGGGTACAAAGGAAGAACAACTAGAGCTCTCTGCTCAAGGCAAAAATACAATGGGAGCTACATATCAGGACAGAAGTGGCTTAGCAGAGTACTGCTGGATAGCGATTTTGTTTAGAGATGGTCCCACTTGCAGACACTGATGAACTGTGAATCTGAATTGTGTTACACGCACCAACTCCTTGTTAAGTTGCACTGTGATATTTAAATCCCCCCAATTACCAGTACTAATGAGGTCACTTTCCCGGCAATAGGGGGTAACAACAGGGCTCTTCCTGTAATGGCATCTTGTTTCATGTCAATCACGGCCGTGAGACTCAGCCATAGGAGATCAGGGCTCCACAGAAAAAAGGCGGTGACTTCCTTGTGAAACCCCCCTCCTCCAATTTTATTATAAGTTTTAGTGTGTATGAGAGGGAAGACAAAAGCATCCAATTTATCTTCTCTGTCCCATTCACTGTTCCTTACACCTGTTTTGTTAGCTTAAGCTCTAAAATGAACACTCCCAAATTCTTCACTTGCTCTTTGCATGGAAATTTTTCCCAGCCTGTCTTTTTGTTGTTGTTGCCTGCCTTTGACACCCTTTCCATTTCTCCCATTCAAGACAAGGGAAGCATTTTCTTGCTTTCAGAAATCACAGGCCTTGCTTGCTGTGGCCCAAGTAAGGCCACAGCAGGCATTCCTATAGTAATAATATTCAATATTATTTTTCCTCCATCACATCCCTCCTTACTTACTTTTTCTGAGCAGGATTTTCATCAAAATGTTTCCAGCAACCCCTAAAATGTTTCCCTTTCAGGTTACAGCTCCCTGAGAACACAAGGCTATGAAGAGCTCAATCGATTCCTTCCGTGTTCATTCCCTTGCATGCATCAGTGCTGAATTCAGTTTTCTATTAAGCGACTTGCTCACCCGGCTTAGACTTTTCTGAAGTTCACAACAGTCTCCTCTCACTTTGAATGACCCCAAATAGCTTGGCAGGTATAGACATCTGCTGTTCCTGAGATCCAACGGTGGCTAGAGGAAACGTACAAGGACACAGAAGGCAGATCTCAAGAAAACGGATGCCAACGTCAAAACTTGGGAGGAGCTGGCAGTGGCTACTGACTACAGTGACTACAGTCGTGCCACAACCTCAACCAAGCAGTTCTGAGGTAAAGTGTCTTGCCCTGGAAGCAGAGGAGAGAACGGAGGAAGGAAAATGAGAGAAATCCTGGCAGAAAGACCTGCAACTTCTGTGAGCGGGTCTGTGACTTGAGGATGGGACTCCGCAGTTACCTTGAGGCCCAGCACTGAGCCCTAGCAGAGATCCTCTTTGAATGAGGGGCTGGTGACAATGATACTGGAGGTATAGTTTTGGGGGGAAATGTCAGCGTTTCCCTTCTGCTCACTGCCTCTGCCAGCCTAGGCCTTCTTAGCCATCAACACACTCATCTACATCCCTTTACTCGTCCTGCGCCAGTGATCACTCTGGTCCCTCGCTGCCACTGAGGCCAGCCGAGGAGGAGGAGGAGGAAGGCCGCAATCCCAGTCAGACCAAGGCTGCTTAACTTTCCTGCAGAGCCTCTACTTGAGGGAGGCCCGCCAAGCCCTGCGGAAAGGGGAAAAGGGCAGCCCCTTCGCCTGCTCGGGGACAAGCAGGCAGGACAGGAGCTCCCCTGAGGGGGGCCGGCGGCGGGGACCGGACGAGCTGGCCCTTGGCGGGATGCTCGACCCAGCCCACGTGCCTCGGCGGCCTTGCTCCAGGCAGCGCCCGGGAAGCCCTCGCCCCGCTAACCGGGGCAGT